TTCAATAATATCTACAATTCAATGAAAATTCAAGCACAACTTATCGGAATTTATGGGATGCAATAAAAGCAGTTCTTAGAGGGAAATTTATAGCTGTGAACTCACACATTAGGAAAACAGAACAGGAAGAGCTAAATACCCTAATGCTGCAACTCAAATGTCTAGAAATGCTAATAAGTGAGGAAGAAAATGCATTCTCAACTTTTATCAAACAGATGCCTTCAATATCACCATTATTTGAAGTTCAAGATTTGTTTCCAACTCAGATACATTAAGTGGCACCAATGGAAATTCTATTATGCATTTATAAACTTGTAGCTCATTAAACCAAACACAAAATGTCCAAGAGTTCTCCATGGCTGCGTGATGAAATCGGAGTGTCTGCATCTCACACAAAGCCTACTTGATCTCTGTGACCTTTGGCCTCTCTGGATTCTTCCAGCTTCCTCTTCTACCATTTGTGACCTTTAGTAGTTTTCTAAATTTGATAATTATTTTCTAATCACAAGGTTATACACCAAAATGTCGACTACTTCAAGCATCTTTTCTCTTTTTTCTTTTTTTATTAATTTTACTGAAAAAAAAAATAGCAATGAGACAGTTTCAAAACAGGTTAGGACAGTTACAATAATTAATACATTGCATTTGTTGTCTTCATAGTAGTTATGCTTAGTACAAGATGCAGACATGATATCTTGTTCAAATAGTATGAGTACAAATTTTTCTTCTCATTATATTAATAGAAAGCAGCTGTGTATCTGTCCTATTTTGTATATACAGATACAAAAATGGTCCTTCATTTATATCCCCTTTTTTTATTTAGTTTTGTCAGAGATGGGTATTCCATTGCCATTTAAATATTGCAGGTGTATGAATTCAGCAAAATAATCCAATATAGTCCAGTAGTCCATAATAGTAGTGGGTTATCCATAGGACTGGCAATGTCAGAAGTTCTTGACTACAGCATTTTACAGCTCAGCATATTAATATGGCTTTACTTTTTATACCTCATTTTTACACTTTTCTGCTGGATAGTTAAGACCAAGGTAAAGCAAGACCTATATAACAAGAAATGTAACTTTTGTATCTGACAAGGTCAGTTAAATCCCCTCAGGATTTACCCTGAAACCCTGTACTGCAGTCTGTAGATTCTTTGTGTCAGCCCTGTGGACGAGTCACGGCCATTGCCTGACCAATTTGCTCTCTGTGAAAGCCTGAGAGAATGTTTTCTCTCTAGGTGACTCTCCTTAGGCACATTATACATCATCGATTACTTTCCTCTGTGGCTCCATAATCTCCTTGATCAGTAAATTTGGGACATCACTGAGTTACAGGATGTCACAGTACAGGTTCTCTTATGTCCTGAGTCCTCACTGACAGGTAGGGCCAAAATGTTGACTGTCCTTGCAGCCCTTTTTCTCTAATTTTTGGTCTGCAAACTTAAGTTGTTAACCCTCCAGAAGAGAAGCTTAATGATATTATTACCCTATAAAAATAGGCAGTTGAGCTTAACCTCACTATCTGTCTGAATAACAAACATCGTAGATAGAACTTGGAACAGGTATTTTCCATCAAGTGTTGATATGATATAAGCATCTTTTCTCATGATCCATACACTATGGACATGTTAGTGCCTGAGGCTTCCCATGTGCGTCCCTGTTTCCACTGTCCCCTCTCCTCTCATCCTGAGTCACTCTAATATATCTTCACGCTAAGCTTGGGTTTCACCACCTCCAGGTAGCCTTTTCTCTTACTCGTCCCCTGGGATTTGGTCCTGCTCCTCTGCACTCCCCTCACACAGCACACATGTCTATCAAAAGATCCACAAGTCTGCACTGAAATACTGCACCTCTCCCTCAGTTGCAGTACCACCTCAGGCTGGTACTGCCAACACCAAGCATGTATCTGAAAGTGGAAGGCAGGTTTTCAGTGTTCACAAACCATCTTACACATAAACACTGACCTGGATCCTCAGGTTGCTTGCAGCCTTAGAGGAGTGAACTGAAGGAAGAAGAAACTCAAAGCACGTGTGTCTGCTGAGGGCCTCCTGAGCTACAATACCCCGTTTGCATCTATTTCCCCACCTGGGGAGTCCCATCAACCCCAAGGGAAACGTAAGAGTATTCTGCTGGCACAGTGGGCAGCACATTTCAGGGTGAAGAGAGAAAGCAGAGTTCCTTTGCCTCGTGGGTGTCTGCTGAGGAAAACAGCCATCCAGCTTTGTTAGCAACAAGGAACTGACTTACACGCATCTGAACGTGCTGGGTGGGCAATAGACGCACCAAAACTGCATCTTTATATAGCATTATCTTAAACAGCACCCTAGCAAGAACAGCGTAGCACAGCCATGCGGTCTTGCATCTTAAAGTGTAAATACCACATCACTCTGTATTAGTTAGCTGGTCTCCCCACAAGCATGAGGATTCACCATTACTTCTATTTTATAAAGAACAGTGAGGGTCTAGAAAATCCAAGATATTTGCTTAGTTCTATTCAAACCTCAATCCCCACCCCCCACATTTTCATCTCATACAGTGTATTTCATATTACCCTTCAGGTAATAGTAAAATCCAACATAAGAGATCTGTTCTTTAAAATTCAGCATTTGCCTATTTATTTAGGCAGTACCAGGGACTGAACCCAAGGCCTTCCTACTCAGCTATATATTTCCAGCCCTTTTTACTTTTGATTTTGAGGCAAGGCCTTACTAGGTTGCTGAATAGCCCAGGTTGAACCTGCCATCCTCCCTCCTCAGCCTCCCAAAGAGCTGTGAGTTTGCACATGCACCACCACCTGGGCACACTCACTGAGACATTCACTATACATGTTCTGGCTGCCAGGCCCTGTGTCCATGTGGGAGGCCTATGCTCTCTAGTGCCCCTGGACCCTGTCCTGAGCAGGCTTGAATCTTCTGAGCCCTGTTGCACCACCTGAAGACACTAGGAATGACTCAAATCACGGACACGAGTGTCCCAATATTTTTTATTTAACATAGATTTTAATTTGCTTCAGGTTCAAACTCAGATTACTGCTAGTTATACACAGGCAACCTCAGTTTAGCTCAGTTCCCAGGGTTGCAAGGGCTAGAAGGAGCAATTTTTAACAGGCTTTGGGCTTAAAGCAATTTAAGGTTAATTGTGATTTTACCATCTATTAGCTGTGTGACACTAATTTTCTTTTCTAATTCTGATTGATTTAGTATAAAATGTGACAATACAAGTGTCAGTGGAATTTTGTGCAAATGAAGAATAGAACAGGGCCAGGGATATAGTTCAGCAGCACAAGTGCTTGCCTGGCAAGTACAAGGTCCTGAATTCCATTCCTATTGTATAAATCAATCAATCAATCAATCAATCAATCAAATAGCATTATGTAAAACAAAAGCCAGAGACTAGCAAATGTTATTATATATTTCCTACGAGGAAATAAATATGAGATTCAAGCCCGCCCAGGACAGGGTCCAGGTGCACTAGTGAGCATAGGCCTCCCACATGGACACAGTGTGTGATCCAGGGCCTGGCAGCTAGCACATGCTTAGTGAATGTCTCTTCCTATATTCTTTTATATTCTCAGGCTAAAAATACTTTTGCTACAGGCTGATAATAAAGTAATGAAAAACTAGTTAAAACAAAATCAAGCTGGGGGAAAAAGCAATGAGTAATCTGCTATACTGCTACCACAGTGCAGGTACATCGACATGCAGAAAGTAAGTCAAGAATCTCCGAGTAAACATTCAGGGAAAGAGTCACAGTAACGTGGTACATATAGTGGTGGTGTCTTTGTAGCTTTCTCTTTGGGGTAAATATTTAGAATGGGAGCAAAGCGATCCACTGCCAATCACAGGACCCATGAAGTTGGGGGTGCTCCACAGTGCTAAGAGGGGTGCAGCAGGTAGTGTGCAATGAAGCAGGTATTTAGCTGGGGAAATGTCAAAGGGAGGAGCGAGTTACAGCAAAGGCTGCGTCAGCTTTTGTGGCCATGAGCCCACAAAGCTGGAGTGTGGGAGGGAGGGGAAGACACGAACTAGGCTGCTTCTAGTCCCCTTCTGTCCCACCCCCACCACCCCCCAGGCTCCATATGCTGTGATTTCATTCCAACAGATAACCAAGAGGGTTTGGGAAACACACTGTAGTATAAATGAAACAGTCCTGTAGTTTGTGCTGGAATCAATTCCAATGAAAACCATTCAGTGAATGGCATGGTCAGCAAGAAGTGAGCTCTCTGCACCTTTCGGCAGCACGCATACCTGAGATATTTGGAAAGTCTTGAAGTGGACATAATAGTCTACCTGGGTCTATGAAAGAAGTGTCATGGCAGAGACTTTCTTCCCTATAGACACAGCCAGGTTTAGATCTCTCTGGTATGTGGGAAGACCCCGGCAGCACGGTCAATTTAAAAATGTGTGACATTTAAAATTTCTGTAGGAGTACCAAATGCTAACAACTAAATTCTGATCCTGAGCTTCCGAGCTCTTTGCTGAGGTACTGCAAAGACAGATGGGGACTATCTGTATAGAGGATAATGTCATTTTCTCTCATAAGAGTTTGACAAGTGGTCTCTTCTTTCCTAAAGAAATATTCTAGTCTTCATCTGACCATAAGTTACTAAGTGAAAATTACACAGCCTGTTGGCACTGGCTGGTCTGCTGCTGAGAACAGGGCTGGGATCCCTGTGCTGACTGGGAAGCTAGGGGCCCAGGCCCAGTCCGGCCTGTAAAACTTTGAAGAGATTACTTAAAACCTGTTAGCTTTACCATTATCACCTATAAAAATGAAAATTTCAGTAGCTTAGCTGTCCTGCCTACCTGCAGGAAATTCAAGAGAAATCTGCTTAAAGTACATGCAAATCCAAAGTCTATTGATGGCTGCGGCACAGGCTAGTGATGTGACCGACAGGTGCCTTCTTCTATCCTCTCACCTGAGGGGCCAGCAGCCCTGCCAGTTACCAAGACTCTGTTTTCCTGGGGAAGGCATAACAAGGGCACTCCCTTCATTCATTACCTTTTTCTCATTGACATCCACCTGCTCCTCTTCCTCATTCACCTCTTCTGGCATTTCCTTGATTTTGTTCAGGAGCTCAGCCTTGGCAGCAGACACACTATAGTAGGCAGGACAGTTGACCAACATGCCCAGCACTTCCTTGTCTTCATTCCTGACCACAAGGAACACAAAAGGTAACCACACAATTTTCAAATGATGTCTGCTCACTCAGTAATGCATTTCTTTCCCAGTGATTACAGCAACAGTAAATATTTACAAATAAGAAGAATAGGGCTCTAGGAGTCAGGCGAACCTGTGGTGAAATGCATAAAGGCAGTCAGCAGTCCTGGGGGCGGAGTGCGGATCAGGACTCCAGCTGGTCCCCGCACCTCTTGCAGGGTAAGTGATAAACAGAAGAAGGATTCTGGCTCCTTTCTCAAAACCACAACATGGGGCCACGACACTGCACAAATTCCAGGGTCTGGGTCATTTCCTCCTCTTCTCTGGTTATCTCTACTCTTTTCTATGTCTATTGCTCTCTGGACTTACTTAAGGTGGAAACTTCTAACTCCTCACATATATACACATGTGTTTCTTCAATTGTGCTTAGCAGAGTCTCCAACAGGTCACCAGCGGGGTCCCAGAGCAGCTGATGAAACTGTGAGCTGCTAAGTTTCACCCCAACTTGTCGGTGCTCACTTTCTCCAGAAGGTGGCGCAGGCCACTCAGCTGAAATCCTTTGCAAGGCTCAGCTGCCTGCAAATCTACAGAACCATTTCACCTCTATAGCAACTGAAAGAACACATGTGCTTGGTAGTGATGCTTTCTGAATGAAGGATATGCTTTGAAATCACTATAGTTTTTACAGTAAGTTGTCAGACACTATAGTTTTTACAGGGAGCTGTGATCGTGCACAGCAGGCTGAATGGAGCACCCAGAACACATCCCAGAAGCTCGGTGGTCTCCTGTGCATGAGCTGGCACATTACAGGGGCTTGGGAATGGCTGACTCTGGATAAGTTACTTCACCCCATGTCATCTGTTTTCCAACCCTGGAAACGATGGGGATGCTCAAGTAGACTGCAAGGTCTGGAATGAGGACGGCCTTGGGCAACCTAGCAGATGGTTTCCGAGTGCTGCATCTCCCTTCCCAACAAAACATGGTATTCCTGTAGTAATTTAGTTATGATTGCCTACAACTTTCTAAAATGCAAGCCCAAGTTTGAATGAAATGCTATTTTATTTAGTCTGAAGACATTAACTGCAGAGTTTTAGTCTGTCAATTCACATAGTTATCACTGAAAATTTAAAAGAAAATACAAACCATTTTAAATCTTTCTTTTTGTAGTCCTAAAAAAATTGAAATATGGAAGAACATGCAACAACAACCCAAGAGAAACTGAAAGAATGGGCAACACAAACTATTCACAGTGCTCCTGTGGTGTGGCTCCGGATGCCTTAGAGAACTGTCAACACATGGTTTGGGGAGCTCAGGGGCAGGGGCTAAGCGAAAGCAGCAGGATGCACCCCACTCACAGCTCTCATTATTTTCAGATCAGAGCAAACACCAACCTTAATGCACCTTAACAGGTGCATTTTCAGTGTAATAAGCCTATTCTCTAGACTCTTGTCATTTTTACAAACACAGTCAACCTTGGCCGTGGCCAAACCTCCCACTTCTGCCTACTCCTCCCTTCTTCCTCCTCAGGGAGCTGGGGGTGGGGGTGGGCTCTGCATGGGCAACATCAAGGGAATAGGCAACTGCACATGCACAGAGTTCCGGGCACGGTGTCACTGCCAGGAAAGCAGGCAGTCATGGGCCAGGATACGCATGTGTTCTAGGGCTTTGGCTAGGCATGGTTTTAATTCTTCTGTACTTCACTTTGCTTTTGTAGAAAGCAAGAACATCCTGGTAGCTGCTTCAAAAGGTTTTTTTTTTTTTTTTTTTTTGGCGGAACCAGGGATTGAACTCAGGCCCTTATGCTTGCCAGGGAAGCACTTATTCCACTGAGCCATCTCTCTGGCCCCCAGAAGGTTTTTGTGATTACTAAATAAGAATGTTTATATAAAAAAATTCACACAATTCATACAACACAGACAAGTACTAATGACCATTATTACTACTGCTATTATTTCTGTTGCCAGGCATCTGTCATCCCCTAACCCTGAAGGGAATGTCACTCTTGGGTCAGAGATCTGTGCAAGTAGGGAACTATCCAACTTCTCACCCACAGAAGGAATTCCATTCTAAGTCCTCTGGGGGCACTACCAGGGCCTTACCACTTGCTGTCACATGCCGAATGGCTGACAGTCTTCTGCGTGGCCTTCCTCTTGGTGCTGTCTTCCTTCTGCAAGTTAGTATCTTGGGGAAACAAACCTTCCATCAGGTCCATAGTTGTCTTCAGTCTGGAGTCTGGATCTAAAATGTCTGCCAGCGACCTGTCTTGGTGCACAATTTCCTTGGCCAGAGCCTCTGTTCTGATATCTTCTGAGGTCTTCTGAGGATCAGAGCCGATTTTCTGAGTTCCCACAGGTGGCTCACGGATGAGGCTGTGGGGCTGACCTGGAGAGGGTTGCCCCAGGCTTGGCTGCTCACCAGAAGACCCTGCCAGTTGGGGTGGAATACTCCTGAAGAAGGGTGAGATAGGCTTATTGACCTCCAGACATCTGACAGAAGTTTGGGGTCTGGGAGGCAGCGGCTGACTGCCTGTCCAATGTGCTGCAGCATGTGCGGGACTTTCCCTCGCAGTGTTCACCCTGGAAAACTGGCCAGAGCTGCTAGGAACACAAAATAAGAGTAAAAGGGAAGCGTCAATAAGAGGGTGAATGGAAGAAGGTGAAAGGCCACAAGGGAGCAGCCAGCATTCCCCATCACTACTGAGGGGACCCTCCTCACATTCTGGGTTCCCAAGCACCTTGTGGGCCTGGGAGCTGCCACCTCCTAAGGTAAAGGCAGGCAGTAGGAATCCCATCCTGATGAACGCTGCTACTAGATTACAGAACATTCTGACAGGTGGAGGTGAAAAGCAGGTGGGACCTGACCCTCTCTTGATGTTCAGAGGACACAGCCAAAGGGCATATACATTCATGTGAGACCTCTGTCCTAGAACCTACACACTGGGAAAAGCTGCTTCTCCATTCTTTTGGCTCCCAAGAGGTTTTCCTAGTCCCTGCTCTTTGCTCCTTCCCATGGACATGGAGTGGCTCTGGGCAGCCCAGCCTTTTCTGAGAGGTAGCCTTGGGCTAGTATATCTGAATGTCTTATATGGCCTACAGCCAAGCAGGCAAACCTGTTAAATTCGATCGCTAACACTTGCCTTACAGGAAGACAGAGTGGATATTAAAAATCATGACCTTCACCAGTAATACAAGTGCTAGTTTTGTCTTTCACACATCTCCTTTTGTCTTATTTAACTGAGTTGGAATTCAGCTGCGGAGGGTCGGGGAGATGGCTCAGTAGAGTAAGCGCTTGCCTGACAAGTGCAAGGGCCTGAGTTCAATCCCCACTAAGAACTCAGCTGAGGAAAAGGAGAATTATTTCTTTGGTTCCCGTGAAATGTACAGCTGGGCTTTGGTTTTCATCCTCGCAGCCTTCCTCCTTGGTTCTTAGTGTACATCAGCATCATTACTGTCTGGGGCAAATGAATAAAACAGATCTGCCTGCTTCAGGGGCTGACTCTGTACTTAAAAAGTCTCCACCCCAGGGCTCTGTGGCCAAAAGGAGGACCAGGGAAGCCAACACATGAGACTCTCCCTTCCGCATCTTCCTGCCCAACCCAAGCCACTTGCTCACCTGTGGCCCGGGCCCTCGGAAGCATCAGTGACCAGCGGCACCTCACATTCAGCTTGGGGAGGAGGTAGAGGAAAATCATCCGGGCTATCTACTGGGACTTCCTGGTTCAGTGGAGGTGGTGGTGGAGGAAGAGCTTCAAATGGGCTGGAAGTGGCCTTGGGGCGCAAGTCCTTCATGAACACTTCATCCTCGTACTCCTGAGGCACAGGGGCACTTGGTAGACCTGACTTGGATATTCGAAGGGAGACCCTCCCCAGAGTGTCAGAGTCTGGAGTGCTACAGGAACTGGGAAGGCTCAGATGCTTGCGACAGTGCTTTGGGTTTGCAAACTCAGGTGATAAGGCTTTCTCAGGAAGGCTGTCCTGCTGTGCCACATGGGCCCCCTTTGCCTGAAGAGGTGGTGGCTTCTGAGCCAGGGAGACCCTCTTCCGCATTCCTACTCCTCCCTCATGCTCTGATTTGTTGAACTCACAGCCGATTGGGCTGGGTAGCTGGACAGGAGGGTGCCCATTGCTTCTCTGGGTCTCAGCATGGGCATAGGGGGGCAGAGGCTGTTGCCCTGCCTGATAGTCCCTTCCAGCTGGCTGATCTGATGTAAGCTGTACACCATAGCTAGAGGGAACAGGCGAAGGCAGAGGGGAGCTAAGCGGGGTCAGCAGTGCAGTCCTGGCCTCTGGGAAGTGCCCTTGCACTCCAGGCAGCGGTGGCCTGGGGCCTGATGCTCTGCTGGGTGGCCTTTGATGGCCCAGGGTCCTCCCACAGTCACTAAGAACAGAAGAACCATAGAGTGCTTTGCAGCCCGAGCTGCGCCAACCAGGGGCCTGATGCTGGAGGAGCGATGGCATTTCTTCTCGGTCTCTTTCTGAACAACTGAGTGACCTAAAACAAGGTATAGATTGTCAGTTACAGCTCTGAACAAAGGGCAAACACTGAGCCTACAATGCATTATATAGATAAGAAAAGCATTTCCTTAGGGAAGAATAATATATGTCCGTGGTGCCCACAGGCAAATCAAAGTACCAGGCAAGCACAGGTCCCAACAGGAAAATGCCACACAGAACCCCCCTTACCACCTCATGAGGTGGTTTTGAAGGCAGGCTTCCAGACACAAGGAGACAAGTGGTCAACTTCTTTGCTCCCGGCTCTGGGGCAAATGATGCCTGCCTGATGATCCCTGCCGCTTCCTCTCCCAGTGTGACCGGTGAGTGAGGTCTGCATGCCAAGAGCTGGCTTGGGCTGCTGAGCCTGCAGGTTTTTACAACTTTGGCTTTCCTAGTGTTTTCTCATCTTAAGATGAAAATTAAAAAGGAGCTAACAGGCAGTTACTTCCGGGGAGACTGACAATAAGAAGCAAACATGATACATGAGAATTTAAACAACTATCCATTAGGCACCAAGGAAAATCCAACAGTTCCCATTACTTTTGTTACTGTGGGGGCGGGGGCGGGCAAGACAAAGAAAAGTGACAGCAGCACTGCCTGCCTGCGATGCAAGAGTTAATGAGGATAAAAATAACCAGCAAAAGCTGTCATTTAACCAGCAATGCTGTAATTTCCGAATCTGTAGTTTCTGACTGGCTTTGCCAAGGAATCTGGAGCGCAGATGGCACTTTTCATCTGACAGATTTGAGTCTCTGGAAGGAGTGGTGGGGGCTCCACATCAGAACAACAGTGCGGGGTCTGCCACAAGCTGTCCGCATGCCAGGAGAGGATAGTGCAGCATACGGAATGGAAAGACTGTGAAGAACCTAATTAGCTCTTCTCTATTTCTTCTTTCTTATAGACACAAATGGCTCAGCAGAAGGTCCATCTCCCTCTTAGATGCGACCCCTCACTTGCCACTGCAGACCCTCCTACCGAGACAGCTTTGTTCACACAACCCCTCCACATCAAAGCCCAGTTGTTCTGCACTTCTTTACGGCTTTCCTAGGGTGGACGCTGGATGCCCAGAGCCAGGCAATCCTGAGAAGCTCTTCATTCCCAGGTCATTCATTCTGGCATCCACAGTACCAGGCCCAAGGTACAATGTCTGACAGTTTGTATCAGGTGGACAAAAGGTGTCTCTTCTGTGTAGCTCAGTGTGGTGAACCTATGGCACGAGTGCTGCAGCTGCCTGTGATCAGTGAAACTTCTAAAGGTTCGCCGTCACTGGTCTAGCTGCCTTCAGACTAAAGGACAGCAACTATTTTAAACTGTGCGTGTTGCAAGATGTGAGTCAACAGGAACCTTTACTGATGATGATTCAGGTGCTATTTCCTGAACTTGTATCCTGAAGTTCTTAGAAAAGGGCAGATATCACTAAAATATATGACATTGCTTATCCTTTAACGATCCAGCCTAACTAACTTTGTTGTTTTAAGTTTATGTTGTGGGGCCTGGGGAGATAGCTCAGTGGTCCAAGCACCTGCCTGGCAAGTGCAAGGACCGGGTTCAATCCCCAGTACTGCATGCTGTGTCAGCACCTGAACTCGAAGTGCAACACGGGCCACCGAAACTGGGCAGGGTGCTGCACACCTATAATCCCAGAGCCTGGGAGGCTGAGACAAGAGGATCACCTATGAGTCTGAGCTGCATAGCGAGATCATGTACCATATAAATAAATAAATAAATAAAACTTTTTTTAAAAAAATATATTTAGTACAGGGTCTACAAGGTCTCACTATGTAGGTCAGACTCGTAGTGATTCTCCTGTTTTCAGCCTCCCAAGCTCTAGGATTACAGGAGTGCGCCACCACACTCAGTCTCAATCGCCATTTCAGTGCACCATGGGGGACAGGGCCAGGGATGTCACGGCTTGGTGGGGATCAAACCCCAGCCACTGTGCTCTACCTAAACAGGTACTTTAGTCCACTGGCCAGCCCATAAAATAATTTAAATTTATGTTTAATTCTAATTTATATGAGCCATACTAAAGTTGCATATTTTTGAGGCCGGGGAGATGGCTCAGTGGAATAAGCACTTCCCTGGTATGTGCAAGGGCCTGAGTTCAATCCCTGGTTCCGAAAAAAAGAAAAGAAAAAAAAAAAAAAAAAAGAAAGAAAGTTGCATATTTTTGAGGGTAAAATTTATGTTTAATGCTTAGATATAGTTGAGAATGGTTTTCATGGTGAATGTATCCCCCCCCCATGGTGAGTGTATTTTTTTAGGAAGATTAGTTTATTTTTTCTGAGACAGTCTTATTATACAGTTAAGCATCAGATTTTAAAGTTAAAAAATATTTTGTTTAACCTCCTTTTACAATAAAAGGCTCAGTCTGTTGATCAAAGCTCCAAGTATACAGAAATCCTAACATTTAAGCATGGATTTTACAACTTTCTTTTTCTTTCCTTTTTTCTTTTTTTGGAGACAGATCTCATTTTGTAGCCCATGCTGTCCTAGAATTTGTAGCAATCCTCTGCCTCAGCCTCCCAAGTGCTGAGATTGTACCATATTGGGTAAGAGCATCTTTCTCATGTATTTAATTTTTATTTATTTATTTGGTACAGGGTCTCGCTACACAGCACAGACTCATAGTGACCCTCCTGTCTCAGCCTCTCCAGTGCTGGGATTACAGGCATGCACCACCATACCCAGCTTCGGTGGCTGGCATGGCGTGCCTGTGGTTCAGAGGCCTGCATGGCATGCAGTACTGGGGATCAAACCTGGGTCCTTGTGCTTGCCAGCCAGGTTCTTAAACCACCAAGCTATCTCCCTAGTCCCTCTCATGTGTTCTTTTAAGACTTTTAAAAAAATTATTATTGTGGTAAAGCTACAACATAAAATTTCACCTTTAGAATTTTTAAGAGTACAGGTCAGCAGTGTTAAATATATCCATGGACTGGGGGGAGTTCAGTGGCAGAGTGTTTCCTCAGCTTGCATAAGGCCTTGGGCTTAATCCCCAGTATTAAAAACAATGTTCAAATGATTGTGAATGACAGCTCCCAAAGTTTTACATCCTATAACTCAGAAGCTGCCCCCACTAAATAACTCCTATTGCTCCTTCCATTTGCTCTTTACTAATCACCATTCTCATATGTTTCTATCAATCTGATTAGGTGAAGTAGCTCATATAAGTGGAAACACACAGAATTTGTCTTTCTGGGACTTGGTTCACTTAGCATAACAACCCCAAGGTTCGTCCATACCGTACTGACACAGGCTGTCCTCCCTTTTTAAGGCTGAAAATAGTCCACTGTCTGCATACATTGTCTTTTACTTGCACAGCTGCCCACGGACAAGCACTGGGTTGCTGCCACTTCCTCACTACTGCAAATACTGCTGCTGTGAGCATGGGTGCACAGAGATCTCTGAGATCCTGCTTTCAACTGCTAGGCTTTTTTTTTTTCTCCCAGCTTTGATATAAAGGCTTGAATCCAGAGCCTTCATACTGAGCTGTATCCCCAACTCTTTTAAAATATTTCAACTTTTATTTTGAGATAGGGAAGGTCTCACTAGGTTACTCAGGTAGAAAACTTGCTATCTTTCTACCTAAGTGTCCCAGAGTGCCAGGATTATAGTTATGCACTATCACACCTAACTGTACTGCTGGTCCTATAGGAAATACACTAAATTTTATTATAGATAAGTGTATTTTCTAACACTTGGAAGAAGCTCCATGTCGTTTCCCATTCCCATGAAGTGTGCAAGAGTTCCAATTTCTCTGTGCTCCAACATTTGCCACCTTCTGTTCTATTGTTAGTAGTCATCCTAAGGGTGTGAGGTGACAACTCATGGCTTCGATTTGCATTCCTATTATGACTAACCATGTCCAGCAACTTTTCAGATGCCTGCTGGCCATATGTTTACCATCTCTGGGGAAAAAAAATTTCTGAAACAAGGTCTTGCTATGTAGTTCAGGCCAGCCTCAAACTCAGCTCAGAGCGATCTTCCTGCCTCAGATTCCTAAGTCCAGGGCTTCAGCTCATTATTAGCTTTCCCTGTTTCTATCTTAACACACTCAACCAAGCATAACCCTCTGCATCCCCCTAGAAGGAGCAAGAGCACATGGTGGAGGGAGGCTGCTCATGGTGGAAGCATTGACTACCCACTTCTTGACCATGTTGGCTGCTTTTGTAACAGTGTTGAGTGATGGAGAGCATAAAAGTAGAAAAGAAAACTGACTGATTAGAAAAAATTAAGAAATTAGCTTTAAAAAACATGGGAAGCAATAGAGAAGGTTTAACAGCACTGTTGTGGCTAGAAATATACTGTGGAAGATAGCTCTATGACGCTGTTCTGAAGGAGCACATAGCACATCCACCTCAGGGAGAATGCTCAGAAAACTTTTCCACATGAAATTTCTCCATGTGAAAAGCTCAAATATTCAAATTCTAAAAATTATTCATTATATTTTTCTACCTAGGAGGTATGATTTTAAAGACCATTTAAGAAAAAGACTTTTTTACTATTGTTTTTGTGCATTAAATAGCTTTTTTAGGGGGGCACTACCATGGATTGAACTCAGGGCCTTCAAACTGAGCTACATCCCCAACCCTTTTTAAAAATTATTCTGAAGGCTGGGGACATAGTTCAGAGGTATAAGAACCTTCTTAGCAAGCGCCAGGTCCCAAGTTTGATCTCTGGTTTTCCCCCACACACACAAAAAAAAATGATTAATAAAAATTACTTTGAGACAAGATCTCAGTAAGTTGCTAAATTGTCTAGGGCAAGGCTTGAACTTAGAAATCTTTCAGCCTCGTAGAGTGCTGAAATTACAAATGTCATCATGCCCAGCAAATCTTTGTGTCTAAAAGTTATGATTTTGAGTTGAGTTTCTGCTTTACATGCTTCCTGTGGGTTTGTCTTGCCCTGTGAAGCTGTTCACAGAATACCCTTTTTCTCTATCACTTCGCCACCAGACTAGATCCTCTGCTTGCAGAACTGGAAGGATCAGCTACACAAGTGAGGATCCATGTGTGACAGCCCTGCACAGAGTTTGACCAGAGAATCTCCATCTGTGACCCTGCGGTCATACTTGTTAAGAGCCAAGCATTTCCTCAGCAGCACACATTCAAAATCTATTTTGAACAAGTGACATTCTTAGTCATTCATAAATAAAAATCAACAAATTGTCCATGGTCTAAACAAATTCAAAAAGCAGCATAAGATGCTATCGAACACCACAACATTGCATTCCAATCTCCCACTGAAAGCAACAGAAGTACTTTGACTCCTTCAGCATTCACAGGCAGGAGACATCTTCACTACACATATATACCTGGGTCCAGGGCCAGCCAAGTAACATGGGTCTCTCACAAAACCAAAGCCACCATCTTCCTCCAAGAATGCACCCTAGAAACACAAGAAAGGCACTGCATTATTACCAACAAACAGGAGTTTAAAATCACCAAAGTAATGGGGACAGAAGGGGAATGAACACTGCAGGGACCACAGCCGCACTCCCTCACACTTCACCACTTAGTCTCCAGGGCTCCGGGAGGGCCCGTGAATCCCACTGCACTGACAAGGAGAGGCGCCCGAGGTCTACAGTGGCAGACAGGGCTTACGCTTCAGTCTATTTCACCAGGCGCCTGCCTTAGCAAGCATATTTCCCAAGTAAGCAGTGTTTGATGATGATTATCTCTAGAGTTAAGACAACAACTGCAATCTGTGACATATAATGACGATAATGAATTCAATGAACCATGCTCCTAAAACTGCAGCAGAGAAATATGGGAGTGACCTGGCAGTACAGAATTCTGCAAAATCTCAAGTGTGCTGAATTGTACTTAGAAAAGACAAGAGTCAGGTTTATAACAAGGTTATAGTAAATTCTCTCTGGGAATAATCTCACCTCCATATGATATGAGAAACTGGGAGCTTTTCAGGAATAGCTTCTGTCTTTAATAAGGGTACATGCTGGTATCCCGAAAGGGTTGCCAGTGTAAACTAATAATATAAAATCCATTCCATCTGCTCTCATTCATGATGAAGATGATTAATGTTGTCATTGATGAGAATATATTCAGCTCTCAATTATGTATAATAGGGCACACAGAAAACAAAATGAATCCCTTTGTGATGTCTAAGCTTTACTATTTTATTTCATCATTTACTCTGTCCATAGGGCTAACTGCTTTTCATCCTGTTGCTCTTTTTTGGCCTGAGTCAGTGGTAGAAGTATTAATAAGCAATGAAAAGAGTGGACAGAGAAGAAACAAACAAAGCAGTTGCCCTTTATTGGGTGTAGCTATGTGCCAGACACTGCTGAGTACACTGCAGTACAAAAAATAAGGGTCTAAAACATTAGACACTTGAAATTTGTTTTATCATTTACTCTTATAACAATGTAATTGCAACCCATAGAAGTATCTAGCCCACAGTTAAAAAAGCTGGGATTCCAGCCAGGATCTCTTCAAAGCCCAACACCTTTCCATGAAATTTCAACAGGTTAAATAGAAACCGAGATGGATGCCATCACACTTGAATACTTAAAAAAAAAAAAAAAAAAAAAAAAAAAAAAAAAACCTCAAAATATTTTGATTTGTTCAAATATCACTCTAAAGAATGGGAATTCCTATGTTTTAGAAACTTTATGTCCTTCCCCTCCACTGCTCTTCTGTGATATGAATGTGCTCCTAATGCAGTTAGGTTTAAATATACTGTCATACTCTACTAAGCCTTTGTATTTCACCATGAGAATGACTCTAACATCTGTGTTCATAAAATCTGACCCCTGGAATATTAAGTATAAACTGATATTTATGAGTATGCATAAAATAAAAGAAGTAAAACATAGTAACAGGCTATTGAGAAAAAAATTTAAATTTCCTGCCAATTAAAATACCATTTGGACATAACAAAAATACCTCTTAAGCCTAGCAAAAGGACAAACAATGTAAATTGCTATTGGTTTTTCTTGCTTTGATTTTTTTTTTTTTTTTTTTTTTTTTTTGCGGAACCGGGAATTGAACTCAGGCCTTTGCGCTCACCAGGGAAGTGCTTATTCCATTGAGCCATCTCTCGGCCCCCCTTGCTTTGATTTAGATACATAACAAACATGCACAGGACTTTAGGGCAATATAAGTAGCGGTAATAGAAGAAATAATTTGTTGGTACAACAAGTTATACCAACTTGTTACTCTCCTACTTTATTTTTGTTAGTTATTTCAAAACTGCCTTAAATATTAAAAGGTTCTTAGTATATTGGATTACAAATCTAAAGTCCCAATCCTTACTATTTTTAGGGGATCTTAGTTGTAATTGATGAAATGTGACAATAACAATATTCATTTGGTTATTGTTACAAAAATAATTAAAAGTCCACATAAAAAATGTTGTCATTTAAACATAAATAGTAGTGATAAGTGTTAGAATGAAATCAATTACTGGCTGATACTGTCAGATATAAGGAGTTTAACTCTTGTTTCTCTCCCCGTATCCCTCTGTTTGGTATAAAGCAGTGAAGACAAACCTTTCAATGATACTAGCAGCCCGCTGCAGCCCGCATGCTGTACATTCACTACTACTGGCAAAGCGGCTTGAAAGGTTCTGGAGTCAGGCCCGGAAGGGGTCAAATCATCATGCCCTAGAGGCCCAGTGAAACACTGTGTCCTCTCTGGGCTTAGCCCCCTTTCTGTAGCATGAAGATAATAATAGTATCTACCTCATTATAGAAGCAAGAGGCTTAATTTTATACTTATAAATGAATACAATGATTGGCACACACAAAAAAAAAACTTTATCACTGTTAGATTGTCCTAACTTCACACTTTGTATAAAGTTGATTGTTAATAATGCCCAAGCTCAAATGGGTACTTGCAGAGAGGTGCCTTTCTAGTGGCTGGATCTACTAAATCAAGCCTGCATTCAGCATTGTGATGCCGTGCTCTAGGCGACTGCCTCCGCAACTGAATAATGCTCATCATGCCACCTCAAACTGAATGTGAAGGTCCCCAAATACAGTGAGAATGGGAGAAGCCTCTAACTCTGCCTGTTCTGCAGCTACACCTTTCAAATGAAGAGAAACAAAAGGACAGAGAACCGACAGCTGCAAGTGTCAGAGATCCCACGCTGGCAGGGAGAAGCCCTGCGCACCAGACATCTGAGTGGGTCTCAGGCATTATTTCAAGCCCAAGAATGGTCATTTGTCATGATTTCCATGATGACCTTACAGTTGGAAGCAGAAGGTGTGCTCACTAGCAGAATTTCAAAAAGGAGATACTTCCATGTCAATAGCTTATGTGGGTAGAGTGCAGGCTTAGATTGCATAAGTCCTTGGGTTCAAGGCCCAGCATCAAACCAAACCAACCCAAACAGAAAAAGAGAAACATCAAAAGCTTATAAATTCCTGTGATAGTAGCAGATGATTGGCAAGGGTAAAAAGCATGCTGGGGGTGTCATGAACTATGGCAGCTTTACAAAACATAACATCCTTTGGTTTTACTCAGGCATGTAGTCTCTTCAAAATCACTCAATCTTTAAGAGTTAGAGTGAAAAAAATTCTTCATTAAGAAACATTCATAAAAGCTTAATAATAATAGTAGTGGGCTGGCAAGATAGCGCAGCAGACCAAGCACCTGCTTTGGCAAGTGCAGGGACCAGGGTTTGATCCCTGGTGTTGCAGGATGAGCCAGCCCTGCCCCTCAGTGCAGGCTGAGCCAGCGAGTCTGGATGGTGGCGCACACCTGTAATCCCAGTGCTGGGGAGGCTGAAAACAGGTGGATCACCAGGAGTCCGACCTATGTAGTGAGACCCTGTACCAAATGCAAATGAAAAAAAAATTACAATTTTTTTTTAAAAAAAGGGCCAACCAGATAGCTCAGGAGACTAAAGCACCTGTTTAGGCAGGGTACAGCAGCTGGGGTTTGATATCTGGCATGCCTTGCTGGCCCCGCCCCCAGACACATACTGAGACAGCGACTGAGAATGGGCGTGGTGGTGCCTGCCTGTAATCTCAGCACTTGGAAGGCTGAAAACAGGAGTTTCTCTAAGAGTCCTATCTACATAATGAGACCATATAGACCCTGTATGGGGGGGGGGGTGAGAATATATATATATATTTTTTTTATTTTTTTTAAATAATAGCAGAGTTCTTGGAATTAAAAAAAAAAATTAAAACCAAAATATAAAGTGAGAGCCCAATTGATTCCTGAAGTTTATTTAGTTTCATCTGAAATTAGCTTTTGCTTTTTAAAATTTTTTACATCACATAGCTCAGTGGACTAAAATGCCTGCTTAGGCAGAGCATAGGGGCCAGGGTTTGATCCCTGGCTCACCCTGCTGGCCCCACCCCTGGGGCACATTGAGAAGGTGATTGAGACTGGGCATGGGGGTATACACCTGTAATCCCAGTGCTTGGGAGGGTGAAAACAGGAGGATCACTACAAGTCTGATCTACATAGTGAGACCCTGTATACTCTGTAGACCCTGTCCTAAATTCATTTTTTTAAAAAATCACAAATATGGTAGATGATGCAGAGAACGCAAAGAACAAACTTGGCCACAGGCCACTGCATTATCAGGCAGGACTGGCTGCTGGCTGGGACCAGGAAGCTCAAGAATTCTTCAGAATGTATTGGCACAAAGCAGCGCAAAAGAAGTTTTTTCACTTTGAAATATCTCCCTCTTGACTTCATTTCCCCTAGAACAAATACTACCTAAATATGGTACTCCCTTTATTAACAGTACCTAAATATTGCTCTATCTTCAATTATCTTCTAAAAAAAAGTTGTTCAAATAATATACTTAATTAGAATTTGTGTGTATCTCTTCACTACAATACCTATGTTTTAACATTACTTTCCAACTGACAAGCCTTGTGAAATACTTAGAGGGAAAGGAAAGACAACATACACAGCCATCCAACCAACTCCTTGACAGAATAATGACATCTAATAGGGTCTGAGTTGGTTTTCCCCTATGTCTTTCTGTAGAAAACCAGGAAAGATGAAAAAGTTTGGATTCCTATGCAGTAAACTACTGAAGTCCATCAAACTAGCTAAAATTTCCTATTAAAAATAATTAATTTTAGGTGAATTTTAATTGTTGGGGAAGGAATGGCACACTTTCTCATTCTGAATAAAGGAAAGTGGATATTAAACTTAAAAGAATTGGCTCTATTAATTTTTGTCGGATGGCTTTATCCCAGGAAGAGTGTTTCTGGATAATTCTGAGCAGAAAATATCCAGGAGGTACAGTACAGTACAGTGCAGTACAGTATTTTCTATGAGAAGGCTGTGTGTGTGTGTGTGTGTGTGTGTGTGTGTCAGAAGTCCTGAAGCAAACCTCTCAGCTACAGAATCTTTCTCTCCAGTGGCTTCTTCCTCTTAAAGCCACAACTCACCTTCCTGCACCCTTTATAGCCTGGTTTTTTTTTATTTTTTTTTATTTATCATTTTAGATTTTTAATTGAATGCTTCTACAATATATAAAAATACCTGTAAAAAGTCATTCACGTTAAATAATTACTATGAAATTGTACTACTATCAAATCATACATTTTCAAGAAATTTTAATGATCAGAACTATTAGCATGAATTTGGATTTTTTGGTGCACTATTTTATATTTTATGAATGGGTTGTTTTCTCTTTATAAAGCCAAGATAGCAAATACTTTTGGCTCTATAGCCTGGTTTAAATCCCATCCCCTCCTACGGAAGTTCTCTTGGGCCTCAGCTGGACTTACTTTTCTTCCAGTAGTATATCATTCACCACCACTTGCACAGCATTTACCATAAATTCATATTCCTTAATCAGTAGTGAACTCTAGGAAAGCCTGGGCCTTTCCTTCTCATTTCCTTCAACCCTGTAATTCAGCATCTTTAGACAACATATGCTCTACAAATGCTTGCAGAATAGTAGATTTCTCTGCACTTGAGGGGCTCTTTCTCCCTGAAGTGACATACACATGAACTAACATCTTAGGTGAGTAGGGGGAGCCATGAGGCAGACCAATGAGCTCCAGTGGAAGTGAATTGTGAAGAGTTACTTACGAAAAATAATAGACTCCTAGGAATCAAAAGCTTAGGTTCTGGTCCTACCTTTCATGTGAGATTTTCAAAATCCCATTTTCACACCTCAGCAAGTGGGAATCAAGTACTCTATCACATAGGACTGCTGTGAGGATGAAGTCAGTGAGATAACAAATACAAAGCATAACTAGCCAATGCCAGCTACATACGTAAGTGAAGGCCAGGAACTCAAGCAAAACAAATGGTGCAAAGTTAAAAATCTTGAAAATACAAAAACATCATCTCTATTCATGGATGGTGGTGTGGATAATCCTTAATTTTTTCCAACAGTACATTCTTGCACCCATGGGGGCCCTTCCTAAAAGAAAGTACATGTGCACATATACACATAAAAAAGCAACATATCTCTATAACAACATACACATACATAGACCACGAAAAAAATCAACTCATGAAAACAAAGGCTAACTTTCTGCATTTAAAGGAAGACTTAACAAAAGTGTGCAAGAGGAGAGAGACAGGTCAGCACTATTAACGCAGCTTAGAGCTACTGCTGCTTGGGGTGGTCCTTCTACTTGCTTCCTTCCAACATATCTGAATATGTAACCTATTTATTTATTTTAGTGTCACAAAATTTATTTTGTTGGTATATGATATGGTGACCTCACCAATAAGCTGAAAAACAAGTATACAGTATGGGGAATAAATACATTTAGCAACAAAAGTATTAACTACAGTGGTATGCTTTTTGATAACTAAACAGTTGACCTGGAACAAAAAGGCCTCAAACATTATAGCATATTGGTATTCTGAGTTTATGCCTATATAATCTCTCTGGCTGTTTGTTAACCTATTTAAATAGAAAACTAAAATGACATGGAGAAAAACATTAGTATTTTAATGTACTCACCATGTTAAAATGGAGTAATTTGTTACAACGTAATTTTACTTTTGGCCAGTAAGGCAACCCAAACAATGCCCTGCCCGCCCCCCAATGCTGCCAGGGCCAAAGGGACCCACCTGGCACCTCTTGTCTGCGGTGGGTGAGGACCTGGACCTTGCATGGACAGGAACCGCCTGGACTTCTGAGCGCTCCAGCAGGTCCTCGGCTGATGCAGACTTTGCAGCTGCAGCTCCACGGGAGGGTGGCCCTCCTAGGGTGTGGTCCCCATTTGGGGTGCTCCTCCGCCTACCACATGCTGCTGCTGCACCAAGCAGCTCACCTGGGGTCCGGAGAACCTGGGGGTGCACTTGCTGGAAGCGCCCGCCCGCGAAGGAGCTGCTTCGATCTCGCGGAGCCCCCACTGAATCCTCTGCAGGGGGCCCCAGGCGTGCTCGGGTCTTGCGCCATACGTAGTCTGCAAGGGCGCTCTGCTGCAGCCGCTTCAGCTCTGGGCCGGATGGGCCACGCACAGGGCGCAACGCCGCCTCACCCACGCCAATGCCCACTTCATGCATGCGCCCCGGCTCTGAGTAGGAACGTGCCTTCTGCTCTGGTGCTAGGCGGCGGCGCGGACCTCGGCGGGCAGCAGGTGTGGGCCTGGCAGGGACGCCCTCCGCGAGGAAGCCCTCAGCAGGATCCCCTTCAGCGGGGCCTGCGCTGCGTCGCTCCCGGGGGTTGTGTGGGGATGCCCAGGCCCCCATGCTCTGAAGACCCTCGTGCGCGGACGCCGGCCTCTTGGGTGCAGGAGCGCTGGGCCCGAGGTCGCGGCGGCGAAAGGAGGTGGCGCCCAACACGCGGGACTGAGCGTCCTTGAGGCTGTCCCTGTAGGCTCGACTGCAGGGCGGCTCAGGTGCGCCCGTGCCGGGCAGCTGCAGAGCACTCTGGCTGGGAGGCAGAAGGGCGTTCCCCTGCGGGGCTGTGGGCTCGGCTGGTCCCTTCTGCCATGGGCCACGAGGCTGCCGCCCCCCTGCCTCCCACTCAGGCTCCCTGTCAGTGTCATCACCATTACCTGGGAGATCTGAGAAATGGTCACCTGGCTTGGCCTCGGTCTCCAGGAAGTCACTCCCAGGTGCACCAGTAGTTGGGGCCATTCCACTGAGCATACAGTGATAGCCGAAAGCAGAGCTTCCTGCGCTTGGGGGTCTGTGAACCCCGTGCTCTCGCTGCTCAATCCTGGAAACCTTCTCCAGCACTGATGTGCGGGACTGCTCACTGGGAAAGGCCTGAAGGCCCGAGGCGCTACCCGAACTGAGTCTCCTTATGCCCAGGCCAGAAGTCGGCTGGTGTTCTGGGCTGGGAGGCTCATCACGCCTATGGTCTGAGCTGCACAGAGAGGTTGCTGCACTGGTTCTCTCACCACGCCGAGTGTGGGAAACAGGCCTGTCCGAGTGGACCCTGTGATTATCTTTCTTCTCAGGGCCTTCTACCTTGGTGTTGACTGCACAGGTGGGCCACCTGGAAGAACCTACCTGGGCTTCCCCTCCTAGCTCCAGACTGCTTTGCCTTCTGAAGCTCTCTGGAATGTTCTGGAGAGATGAGAAAGCTGACTTGGTCCTGCCAAAGTTGCCTTCTCGCTCCAACTTTTGCCAGAGGTTGGCATTGTGGTCTTCCTGGAAATCACGGTCCCAGGGTTCCAAAGACCTGGAAGGTCTTTTGTCTTCACCCACCTGCCAGGCCTGAGCCTGAGAGGATTTGAGGTTGTGTTGATTAGAACACAGTTTGTTGCTAGGAGCATTCTTCCTCTCACTGGGATGTGGGCTGTTGCCTTGGAGAGGTGTGAGACTGTTGTTCTGGGAGAAATCCTCCTCATTTTCAGGCACTGAAGAAAAATGGACTTTGTAGGGGACATACTTGGCCATAGTTTCTGGTTTCCTCTCCACTGGGGACGAGTCATGTCCTAGGGGCTGGTAAAAGGCAAATCCAGGCCTGCTGACTCCATTCTGGTTCCCATTTTCATCGAAGGCAGCTATCCTGCTACAGACTTCCTGTGGGGCTGTGTATCCACTTTCCTTGGCGAGTGCAGGATAAAGTGTTCCATTACTGTTTATAGAAGGCTGGGGCACCTGGGCAAAATGTGGCTCCAGGGAAGGTACAGGGTAGATACCAGTGGGCAGCAGAGGCTGGCCAGGCTGGGCCTTCTGAGTGTAGTTATGCTTGGGCTTCATTGGTGGGCTATTCTCCGGACTCCTCTCCAATACAGTGTGTAGCTGTTCTTCAACAAAGGGTGCCTTCAGGGAGCCTGAAGAGTGTGCTGAAGGCCTGCCGAACCGTTTCTGATCAAGGCTGGACCAGGAGCTGGGCCGCTCCCGGTGCCGAAAGGCTGCATAACTGTCACTCCGTGCTGGCGGTAGGGGCACACCCATTCTATGAGAAAGGTTGTCCGTGGCAGTCTCCAAAGAACTGGGACACTGCTGGCTCCAGGATGAGGACGGTGCATTCTTGCCCTGAGGGTTGTTCTGCCACTTGTCATAGCCCTGGCCATCTGCTGATACTTGGGACTCTCTACCCTGGAGAAGCACAGCTGAAGAATTTACCTCATACTCGGCTGAGACTCCCCTCTGGGGATCATAGACTGTCTTGACATAGCGAATATCTGCTTGCTTCATCCCTTCCAGGAGGCTGCCTCGGGCAATGATAGTGTCCATGGATCCTGAGCGCTCTCGAACAGAGATGCCAGGGGGTGGGTATTCCAAGATGCTAGAACTGGTGGAAAAGGAGCTATATGCTGAGTCCCTCTTGTTATGGAGGTGGCTGAGCTGGTCAATGCTGCTGGTGGACTTGGCAGGGGACAGAAGACGACAAGGTGGGTAGCCCCCACTGGGCTCTAGGCTCTCCATGCTCCCCTGGGAGCTGCACCGGTCCAGACTACTCCTCAGATAAGCATGGTCATAAGTGAAGTCACCTGTCGAGGAGCTGGAAGAAAGCAAGGAGCAGTCAGCATCACTGAGCAGTTATCATTCAGCAGGCCTACAGACACAGAACAGCTTAAAATGTACTCTTATGCAAGATGTTTGGTTTGCATAAAAAGGGCAATATCTGGGCTTTGCTCAGCTCCTCCAAGGGCACTGTAGTCGATGTGCCTCCAATAATCACTCAGCCTTGCTGCAAGAACAGGGCTCACAGAGGAAGTCATGGCCTTGGGCACAGACAGCACGCTAATGTGACTTGCTAGGCTGAACATAACACTATGCATATTTGAAGAAATGAGAGAGGTAGGAGAGAAAAATAGAAGGAAGAAATGAGACAAATGATAAGAAATAAATTTTGTGCCCATTGTTTTGTGTCTGTTTGTGGGGAAAAAAGTTTAGAGAAAGAATAAGCACATGAAGGGACAAAGGAGACTAATAGGAACAAGTGTATGTTTTTAGTAAGGATCTTTGCTTTTTAAGGAATTGAAAGCTTCGCCCTGGCAATCTCCCTACAATCTCAACTGTACTAGACAGTTTGTGGTGAGAAAGCTAAACACAAACCTTGGTGATGGAAATACGGAGAGAAATTAGAGTTAGAAAAATCAGAAGGAAGTAAGGGGGGAAAAAGAAGGAAGTAAGAAATAAGAAGGAAATTTTAAAAGAAATCTTAATCACAGGAAGATCTTGGCTGCTGGGATTCCATTACCTATAAATGACAATGTACATTTAGAAGGATAACACCTTCACACTTACAAGCTGCTCCAGGCAGTTTTCAGACTCTGGCAGTCTCAGAAAGTTGCCTCAAAACAAAATTAATTATGATTAGCTAAAGCAATCCTAAAACTCAAGAAATTCACAATTAAAAAAAAAAATAGGCCAAAGACCTAAATAGACACCTCACCAAAGAAGAGACACAGAGGCAACTAAGCATATAAAAAGATGCTCCCCAATGTATGGCATTAGGGAACAGCAATATAATACTGTGGCATACCACTCCACACCACTTAGAAAGGCCCACATTCTGGGCATGGACATGGATGCTGGTGATAATGCAGAAAAATAGTATCTTTCATTGCTGGTGTAAATGGAAAATGAGAAAGCCACTCTGGAAGACAGTTTGGTTCTAATAAAACCAAACATATTTTTGCTGAGCATGGTGGCACATGTCTGTAATCCCAGCACTTGGGAGGCTGATACAGGGATTATCTCTGTGAGTTTTAGCCAGGTTACAGTGAGTTCAAGGCTGGCCTGAACTACATAGCAAAGCCTTCTCTCAACCCAAACCAAGGCCCAATATGGTGGTACATGCCTGTAAATCCTGCACTTGGGTGGCTAAGGCAGAAGGATTACTGTGAGGCAAGCCTGAACTAGAGAGTGAGATCCTGTCTCAAAAAGACACACACACACACACACACACACACACACACCCCTAAAAGTACTGTTCTATCCAGGAAGCATACTCTGCTATGTTTTGAATGTGGTTTGTTCCCCAACGGTTGACATACTGGAAGTTTGGTCCCCAGGGTGGTGATAATGGGAGATAGTGTGAAATGTTTCAGAGGTGAGGGCCTAAAGTAGGGAGTGGTAGTGTTTGCTTTTAATTGAAGCACTCCAAAGAGGCTGGAACAGGAGAATCATCAAGTTGGAAGCCAGCCTGAAGCATACAGTGAGAAAAGGTGAGGTCTAGCAGGACGTTTCTAGGCCATCAGGAGAGCTGCTCTTAGAAGGGAGTAAAATAACTCTAGTGAGAGATCTAGAAAGATTTGAGTTGTTCTAAGAGCAAGCACAGCCTTTGAACTGCTCCCAGGCTTCCTATTTCAAGATGTGATCTCCTCCTCTGTGTCTTCTTACTGTTGTCAAACTATCCACCCTCAGTCACCAGAAGCTGAACCAATAGGCTGCCCAATCTTGAACTCCTAGCATCCAAAACTATAAGCTGAATAAATCTCTTTTCTTTATAAAGTCTTTGACAAACTCTTGATCATCTGCTAGGGTATTTTTGGTTGTTGTTGTTGTTTGTTTGTTTTGAGACAAAGTCTTGCTTTTCCTGTTCCTTAGTGCAGGCACCAGAGGAGATCAAACTGCCTGCACCCTTCGGAAGCTGGATGGGGATGGAGAGGCCTGGCTCCACCATGCCCCAAGGCCTGCAGTTCACAGTAAGCATTATTCTAAGCACTGATGACAGTGCTTTTATTTCTATGCTAGGGGCCAGCACATTTTTTAGTCCCTAGTACAACTTCAGGTTTCAGGCTTCCAAGGCTAAGAGTTAGAAAGCTCTAAGGATCCCAATGTTGAGAGTACTTTGTTAAGTCACCTGCATTGATAAGCCTGCTGGAGTTCATGCCTTAAACCTGGCAGTTTCTTACCAATTTTCACCTGCCTCTCAGTCTTCTGCATGCCTATTAGCTGTCATTTATTGTTTTCCATGCAATAGGAACTGCATGTTATTTTATTGAATCCTTACAATGATCAAATGACAGTGAGACAAGGTGACTATTTCATTTTACAGAATAAGCAGCCAAGATCAAAGTGATCTTCAGTGGCTGATGCAAAGAGTTAAACACAAAGGCTGGCCAAATAGCTCAGCAGATTAAAACACCTGCAAGCAGGGCCAGGGGCCAGGAGTTCAATCCCCAGGCCTGCCATGCCAACCCCACCCCCACCCCTGCCCCTGGGGCACGCTGAGACAGCAATTGATACTAGACATGGTGGTGCAACCTGTAATCCCAGCTCTTGGGAGGCTGTAAACATGTGGATCACTATGAGTCCGATTTAGTAGTGAGACCCTGATCACCCTGTAGACCCCTCCCTAAGATAGAAAAAAGAAAAAAAAAAAGACTTAAAAGCCTGGTACTTCACACTGCACTATTCTTCAAGCTCCCGCTCCTCATCTTCTAAAGGCTCTCAGCCCCTCTCAGGGCTTCTTGGTAGGGAGGAGTTTAGGAAGTGGACCCACTCTGATAGCAGATGGCTCAGATGGACACAAAAAATTCCCTCAGGGCAATGGGGCCAAGGCAAAGGAAAGGAGGACCTATGGTGGAGTGGGTCACTCTTACCCTAATATACTAGGAGTCCACTCTTACCCTAATATACTAGGAGGTGGCAGTGGTAGTGTCCACCAATGAGAGATCTAGGGTTTTGCATGCCTATTAGCTGTCATTTATTGTTTTCCATGCAATAGGAACTGCATGTTATTTTATTGAATCCTTACAATGATCAAATGACAGTGAGACAAGGTGACTATTTCATTTTACAGAATAAGCAGCCAAGATCAAAGTGATCTTCAGTGGCAGGTGAAAATTGGTAAGGAACTGCCAGGTTAAGGCATGAACTCCAGCTGGCTTATCAATTTTAATCTTATAAAGTAAGACCAACCACACTGTGTTAAGCTTTAAAGAAGTGAATAAAAGATGACATGAGAGCAGTATGTGCTGAGCAGTCCTACTTACCTTGACCAGACATGAGCACAAGGGGCTGTAACTAGGTCCTGCCCTTGCCAAACCCATAGGGCCCATCTGTTAAGTAATCCTTCCAAGAGCTAGGCAGAGCCATTTCTTCTCGCTAAGCTTTTCCCAAAAGTGATACACTATGGAGTCAAGTCAGATAGATGCTAGTTTGTGTCTGTAGTGGGTACAGGGGATCCTGACTTACTTTGTCTTTAACACAGCTGAGTGGCTCCCTTTCCCCAATTCCTCTCAATTATGTAGAGTTTAACTTTCATATGAAATCCCTTCTCCTATAACTCCTTCTTTCCTGATTAAACCCTGCCTGTCGCACCAATGACTGAACAAGCAGAGGATGGAGAATCTGGCAACTTGGCAGCTACAGGCAAAAACTTTCTAGCCTGGCTTGGATTTGTCATGACTCGAGCATTGAGCAGTTGTTCTACCTTAGACAAGTGACTTTTTTTCCCCTAAGCTTCAATTTTAATCTTATAAAGTAAGACCAACCACCCTGTGTTAAGCTTTAAAGAAGTGAATAAAAGATGACATGAGAGCAGTATGTGCTGAGCAGTCCTACTTACCTTAGTTGTTGCTGTTGAGCTAAAATAAATTGCTTTCAGGAGGAAAATGCACACAGTGTTTAAATGCATGAGTAGAATCACTCTCTCAAATGAAAAGCAAACAGTGTTGACTAAAGCCAATATATAAGCATTGAGAAGGAAGTTTGTCAATTTTTCTGTGTAATTGAGAAATATCTGGTAGGCTCTAGAACTATGTCAAGTGACCAGTCAGGGCTCTAAGTCTCTCCATTCCATCTCCACGCTGATCTAGCCCATGCCATAAAGATGACTCAGTCACAAGAGTAGGTGTTTTAGGGGGAGGAGGAGTCCAGGGTGGAGATAAATATTCTTTTTAGGGGCACACTATGTCTGCAAGGTAGCTACTTACCTGGAATGGTAGCTTTGGTGCCAGGGGGGACCCACTGTGCCCTGAGATATCCGCATCATGCTGCCTTCTGATGGATGCTCCTCAAATCTGGCTGTGTGCCATGAATGAGGGCGGCCCACGGGTTCGCTGCGCCTGGGGAGACACGGAGAGGGAACCCCAAACATCAGCAGCCTTCTTGGCTGTTTCCTTGCAGATGGAAAAGTACCCTAGTGAGTACTGCAAAGATTCTTCTCATCACTGCTACCCTCTGCTTTATGGTTTACTTTACTTATGACATTGCCATGATCTCAGATTACATAGAAATCAGCATACAGAGTTCCCACAATAACTTAGACTTCCTATCTGTTAGCATTTTATGCTCTATGAATGTAAAGCACAGGGAACTGTTCCTATTTCCAGGCCTTTTCATATACAAAAAATGGGAGCACTGATTCCTTTCCTCAAGGAACTTTGAAGATATAGAAAGAAACTTTCTAGGGCTTTTGAAATCCTCGGCCACACCCTGATGATTGATGACTGATACCTCTGTTTTATTTCTTGGTAAGAACTGCATGAAGATGAGCACTTACCTCATCACAAAATGACAGTACTCTTAGCTGCACAATTCAGGACAAAGTACTCTATAAAACAGTTTCTCATTTTGCAAATCAATGGCTTCAACTTTTCAACATGCAAGAACTGATGAAGGAACCAGCCAGATAGTTCAGCAGATTAAAGAGCCCACTTAGGCACACACAGAAGCTGGGAGTTTGATCCCTGGCTTGCTGTGCTGGTCCTGCCCAGGGGCGTGCTGAGATGGTGAATGAGACTGGGCACAGTGGCGCACACCTATAATCCCAGATCTTGGGAGGTTGAACACAGGAGGACCACTATGAGTCTGAGCTGTGTAGTGAGACCCTGTAGACCCTGTGCTCAATACATAAAAAGTGAAAAAAGACAACCAGTGAAGAACAGAAGCCATGGCCCTACACTATCCCATGGCTGTGGGCTTCAACAAGGACCACAAGGTGACTAAGAATGTGAGCAAACCAAGGCACAGCCACTGCCACAGATGCCTCACCAAATACACCAAGTTCGTGAGGGACATGATCCAGGAGGTGTGTGGCTTCACTCTCTATAAACGGCGTACCATGGAACTACTCAAGGTCTCCAAGGACAAAAACGCCCTCAAGGTCATCAAGAAAAAGGTGGGGATGCAAATCCAGTCAAGATGAAGCGTGAGGAGCTGAGCAATGTGCTGGCCACCATGAGGAAAACAGCTGCCAGGAAGGACTGAGCCCCTCTGGAATAAGGCTTTGCAGGAGGGAAAAAAAAACAAAACAAAACAGATCCCACTGGCTTTTAGTTTCTGAATTTTAGGTAAAATTCTTCATCATTCTGAATTGCCTCATCTGTAAAAAGTAGATTATTTCAATCTATTCATAGGGTTTTTGAGATTTAAAATGTGCCTAGAACATAGTAAGAGCTCAAGAATGTTAAAAGGATGGACAGAGAGGGGAGAAAAAAGTAGAGGGTGAATGACAGAGGAGATGGGGTGTTGGTAGGGACAAGTCTCCAGTTCTAGCCTCCCAGGAAGGCATGGAGGGCCAATAATCACAGAGGCTGGCCATGCACTTACTGTGGACACAGCCTATAGCACACTGGCCAGAGGCAGGGAGCTGCCAGGACAGTGGCGGTGACCTGCAATTAGCAGGGCACACATAGGCCACAAAGAAATAGACCTTGCTCACTGGGAATCTACAAAAAAAAAACAAACAAAAAAAAAAAAAAACCCCAGAAACAATAGTACAGCTGGGGCCAGAGAGATTAGGGAAAAAGTAAAACCAAGAGATCAACGGGAGCCAGTGCCTCCTCTATTTGGCTCCTTGGCCCCAAGCCTCTCTTGTCCTCATGGCTTACCCCACCTAAGCCCTACCTGTAGCGTTAGCACTGGCAGAGCTGATCAGCCCTTTCTCTGGAGGGTACCACAGGAGCCCTAGCTACAGCTCAGCATTTCAGCAGTCTACATTCCTGCCGCTAGTTCCACTCTGACCGGGAACACGCAGCTTCTGCTCCCAGCAACCAGCTGCTGCCTCTCCTCCAGACCTCTGAAGGTAGCGTAGCTCTCTTCAGCCTGGGCTTCTCACTAACTCATCACTCCTAGTTTGCTGCAATGTTCTATCTAATCATTAGAAATTTCTCTCCCTCATGCCTCCAGCCCTTTGGAGCAGGCCCAAAGCATATGGCCAGGAAATCTGGGAACCAGGGCTAAAAGCCAACATGGTACCACACCCCTGTAATCCCAGCTCTCACAAAGCTGAGACAACAACACTGCTAAGAGTTCAAAGACAGCCCAGGCTACATATTGAGATCTTATCACAAACAAGAATCAAGAGCCTTTTTACCAAGATGGTGCAGAAGGCAAAGAAGGAAGCCCCTGCCCCTCCCAAAGCTGAAGCCAAAGCAAAAGCTTTGAAGGCCAAGAAGGCTGTGCTGAAAGGCATCCAGAGCCACAAAAAGAAGAAGATACGAACGTCACCCACCTTCCACCATCCCAATACACTGCGACTCCAGAGGCAGCCTAAATACTCACAGAAAAGCGCTACCAGGAAAAACAAGCTTGACCACTATGCCATGGTCAAGCTCCCCCTGACCGCAGTCAGCCATGAAAAAGATTGAGAACAACATGCTTGTGTTCATTGTGGGTGTCAAAGTCAGTAAGCCCCAAATCAAACAAGCTGTGAAGAAGCTCTATGACATCAATGTCGCCAAGGTCAATACCCTAATCAGGCCCGATGGAGAGAAGAAAGCATATGTTCAACTGGTTCCCAATTATGAAGCGTTGGGTGTTGCCAGCAAAATTGGGATCATCTAAACTGAGTCCAGCTGGCTAATTCTAAATATATACTTTTTTTCCTCAGTAAAAAAGAAGCAAAGAAAGAAAGAAAACTGTCTTTTGCCTGAGACATCAGTGGCATTTCATATAGATACCATGTCTTCTTCCTATTCCATGTTCTGTTTACCTAAATGAAGGGGTTGCTAGAACCCCTCTCAGAAGCAGGACATGACTCCCAGGCCTAAGATACTGACCTGAAAAAGCCAAGAGATGCTGGTGACACATGAACTCAGTGTGCAGCACTGCACAGCTGAGGGCAGCTCTCTACCCTGCCTCCCAAGAACTGCTTTCCCACCTGTACTGGGGATTGAGCTCAGAGCCACACACACATGCTAGGCAAGTGCTCCACCACTGAACTATACTCCTAGCCCCTAAGTTGTCCAGGCTGGCCTAGACCTTGCAATCCTCCTATCACATGTGCCACCATGTCTGACTCTGAGGATGACTTCTTGGCACATCCATCACCCAACTGTATCTGTCCATGCTTAACCCAAAAGCTGGTACTGAGAATATTTTCCTGCCCAACAGAAATAGGGTCTGGTATATCCCACAGGTGCCCCAGGATGAGAAAAGGTTTATTTTAAACCTTAAAGGAGAAAAGGTTTATTTTGGCTTATAGTTTAGGGAAGTTTTAGTCTCTAGTTGACTGACTTAAAGGGTGTCATAGCAGAGGTGAACTGCAGGGAAGAAACAGTCCATGGTGTAGAAGGCAGCAAGCAGCTACAGCAGCAACAGCAGCTTCTTTCAGTTCCTTTATATTTTACCTAGGTTGTAGGCCTATTGATTAGTGCCCCAATGGGCACCCTTAATCCTATCATCAACCCTTTAATCTCAACTTCACACACCTTAGATATCACCACTTCTGAAAAGCCCCACCTATGACCATAGGAGGCTTTGAGGGGACAGTTAGATACAAACCACAACAGTGTCTCATTTTAAAAATTTTCCAGTAATAGCTCAGTATACATTATAGTAATAGAAAGCTAATAGAAAATCAGCACTGAGAAGTAGATCTTTACTGTGACTGTACTGAGATAATGTGGAGAAGCCTTTAGAATGAGCTTATGGGAGAGATGTGGAAGTGTGGAGAAGTGGGCTGGAGAAAGCCGAGAGTGCTGCAGGTGGGGCTTAACCTGTGCCTCCTAACAGAGCTCAGAAAACAGAACATCAAAAAGAACGCACCCAGTCAAGGAGCTATGGTGAGGTCTCTGGTGGAAACGAAGACTCTAGTAGAAGCTGCACTAGAGGTCACTGGTGTTATACCAATTTTAATGCATTCTATCTATACCCTGAAACTTGGGGGAGACTGAGTTTAGAGGCAATGAACTAGTTTACCCTGGCAGAAAAAATTTCAAGGTAGCAAAGTATTCATGTGGTAAGGATATTATCGTCTGCTTTTGGCTAAATTTACAATGAAAACCAGTTGCAAAGAAAAGTAGACTGGGGCTGGTGAGATGGCTCAGTGGTCTAAAGCACCTATTTAGAACAAGCTTAGCAAAGCACAGGGACCACAGTTCAATCCCCCAGCACCATATGCCAGCCAGCCTCGCCCCCTGGTGGGGCTGAGCTGGCTACACACACACACACACACAAAAAAAAAAAAACACACGCAAATAAAAAATTAAAAAAAAAAAGAAAGAAAAGCAGACTAGTTGCTAGTGCTATTAAGCGCGCGCGCGCGCACACACACACAAAGCCAGGTGCCTATAATTCCAGCACAAGGGAGGCTGAGGCAGGAGGATCCCAAGTCCAGGAATATAACTCAGTGGTAGAGTACCCTGTGTGATTTTCAGTACCACCAGAAAAAAAAAAGCTAAGTGCTTTGTATTGAAGCCAAAGAAGACATGCTCGGAGGGAATTGGTGTTATACAATCTGTCTTTTTTTTTACCCCCCCCCCCCCAGGAATCAACAAGCATAGCTGCAAAGGTTTGGAAATGTAAATTTGTTTCAAAAACTTCCAGGGCAAAGTCTTTAGAGAAGGGCCTCCAGATTCTTAAGTTTGCCAGCACTGCTCAAAGGTCCAAGTCCAAAGTCCCCTCCTATAGGCCAGGCAATTGCTGAACTGCTGCTCACCCAGCACTGCCCAAGCCAGGGATGCACTCAAAGGCTGCTGCTCCCAGCTCAAAGGGGCCCAGATGTAGTCTGTTGTCCTCATGATGCAGGTTTTACAGACATGCAGGGACTATCACAAGAGCTCCAGGGTCAGGAGGCTTTCACTAAAATCTCAAAGGAAAGCCAGTGGGGGCAGTGGACAGG